GACATAAATCAGTGAGTGGGGCTGTTAAACGTGCCATGTCGGGCACGAACCGTCGAACGTAATTAACAAAACCTAAAAAACTCTGCAGTTCCGTGATGTTCGTCGGGGGGCGCCACGCTTTTACCGTATCCAGCTTCTTTGGGTCAATCTCAACCCCAGCCTCCGAAATGACGTGACCCAAAAACTCTAGCCTGTCCCGAAAAAACTGTCAAGATACTAGCAATGGGTAGGCTTAGGAGCCATGGTTGAGTTCGAGTAAGTTTAGGAGAGTCGAGGAATTGGAAGAGAAGAAGTGGTTTCACTATAGAGCGAGCAGTACATATAGGCAAAATGAAAGGTGCACCACCAAAACAGAACATTGTATAACTACAGTAATCTACATTACAGGCAGTTACAAAACAATATATAAAACTATATATTATTCTGACAAAAACTCGCACTTGGAGCCCTTGGTGAGTAGCCGATGTTCCTCCAAAACCTTAAAAACTGCTTCAAGATCCACTAAGTGTTGCTGCTTATCCCGGCTGTAAACTAGAATATCGTCCAGGTAAACTATCACGCATTTATCTAAAAGTGGTCTAAACGCCTCGTTCATGGTCATCTGAAATGTCGCAGGCGCGTTCGTCAGCCCAAATGGCATTACTTTATACTCGAATGACCCGTACCTAGTCCTAAATGCTGTTTTGGCGCAGTCCGATGGTTCGACCCGAATCTGATGGTAACCTCCCCGTAAATCTATTTTCGAAAAGACTCGTGCTGTTCGCAGTTGGTCGATCAGTTCATCGGCGCGGGGGATGGGGTATCGCGATTTGACTGTTACCCTGTTAAGCGCTCGGTAGTCGATGCACATGCGGAACCCTCCGTCTTTTTTCGGTGTGAACAGTATCGGTGCGGCGAACGGTGACGAGCTCGGTCGGATAAACTGCTTCTCTAACAGGTAATCTAACTGCTTCCTTAACTCGTCGAGCTCGGGCTGTGTCAGTCGAAATTGCCGCTGTACAGTTGGCTGTGCCCCCGGTTCTAACTCGATCCTATGGTCGTGCGCCCGCTGAGGTGGCAATCCATGTGGTAAATCATCCGGAAATATCCCCGGGAACTGTTTCAGTAGTGCCTGTAGTTCGGTCGGTACAGTTGCCAGCAGTTTCTCCAAATCACTCGGCTGCTCATCGTTTTCTACGAGTGCGATATCCACTGCGTACACGTCAGCTCCAGCAGCGACAGCCCGTTTCATCGTGATGGCGTTGACCTGGACCGTCGAAGATTTGGGTGGCTGCCAGCGAGGTAGAACGACCCAGTTACCACTACTTCGCACTGTGCAGCTCCCCGTCGTCCAGTCGATCCGTGGGTTGTACCGTCGCAGCCAATCACGTCCTAATAAAATGTCGTGCCCATCCAGTGTCGTCGCGAGCATTTCCTGTGTAAACCCGAAGTTCCCCCCGCAGCGGACTTTTACGCGCTCCACCTTTTCCCGTATGGCCAGGGGTGTGCCGTCGACTAAGCGTGCATCTATCTCAGGTAAACATCGGTTAAGCGTTAACTGTAATTTTCGTGCGGTTGCGGTATTAACTAAGCTGTGGCTTGCTCCTCCGTCAATGAAGATCTTCACTGCTGCTCCCTGTATTTTCCCGTAGATCAGTACCGGGCAATCCGTCGCTGTACCCTCCTTATTCATCCGAGCCCGATCGATGGCGTGAATCGGTACTGTGACTCGGTGAGGGTCGGTGTGGTTGGGCAAGCAGGCAGTCTCGTCAGTAGTTGGCCCAACTTCTACTGACTGCTGGCGTTTCCCTGCCTCCGAGACTCCTTCCCCTGCTCTGCTCCTCGACGCCTCAGCTCCTCTGGACATTCGCTCTTGCGATGGCCCGGCCGGTTGCAAGCAAAGCAGCGCCCTCTAAACGGCGCGGCAGCTGCATTCGCTGCGACGGCATGTACAGTGGCGTGCTCGGTCGGTCCCCGAGGACGATGTCCGTAATAGGACCCCGGTCTCGGTCGGCGTAGGATATCGATTTTCTCGGCGAGCGCGAGGATCTCGTTGAAATTCGAGAGCCCGCGTAGCATTATCTCGTGCGAGATGTCCGGCTTCAGCCCTCCGACGTAACGGTCCACCCGCTCCGCCTCGTGCATGTAGCCGACCTGTTCGCAAAGTGCGAGAAACCCGCTGGTGTAGTCTTGAACTGACCTGAGCTGGCGCCAAGTGCGCAGTTTCTGACGCGCCGAAATCGAGGCCGCGATCGGCTCAAAGCGCGCCCGAAGCCCTGCGCACCACGCATCCCACGTGCTGTATTGGGCGGTTTCGCAGAACGAACTCCAGGTAACAGCTAAACCCGAGGGCCCTTCCTCGTGCGACGGTGGCTCGTAGGCGCGCGGCGACGTCACAATGACTCGCCACCAGTCCATGGCGGGGCCCCTGAGTAGTGAAACCGCATACCGGATCTTGGCGGCGTCTGACTCGACGTAGTTGGCGTCGAAAAACACATTCATCGTGAAGACCCACGATTGAACTGTCGGGCCGCCGCGTTGGCTTGGGTCGAAGCAGGGCGGGCGTTGCGGCTTGAGTGGCATTGGGGCCATCATGGCGTTCTCGCCACTTGTCGCCGCGAACTCCACGTGCCGACGGGCTTCTCGGGGCTCCCGTGGGCTTAATGCGCTCCTGTTCCCTCCCATGCCGGGCATCGGTTGGGCTGCGCCGTCACTGGCTGCGCCTGAGCGCTGTCCCGTGCTGTTGTGTTGCGTTGGTGTGCCGGATGAGATGACGATGGGCTCCTCCGAATGTGCAGATGCATTGGTTGGTGCGTGTGATGTCGTCGGTACGTTCACCGTTGACTGTTGACGGGCGGAGTCACGTTCCGCCGTGAGAGTCGCGATTTCGAGCGCCGAATCCTCCAATTGACGCACGAGACGATCGAGTTGCTCCTGCGTCAACGTGGCGAGATTGAAATCGGCCATGGCGGGGGTGTCGGGCAAGCTCAGCGAGAGCCTCGGTCGTGGCCGTGCGTGCTTTCGAGAGAGCACTACGAGCGGCGGTGCTGTGTCGCTGAGAGACGTCTACCCCCCCCAAAAAATTGAGATAGTGGGAAGCGAAGGTGTGGATGCGGTCCGAGATGAGATCGTAGGCTCTGAATACCAAGTGTTACGAGTGCAATTGAGTGAACGAACGAGAATTGCACTATCGAAGCAAGAATACAAATGAGCGAAGGCATGAGCGAACATTATATAGCGAAACTACCGTGGTAACGGTAATGGTCGCGCGACGAGCCTGGGACTGAGGTTGGGAAAGTGTCGAAGCGTAGGTCCGGAGCGCGGGTTACCAGCCGAGCCGTGAGGTCGGGATGCGATGTGCGAAAAAGGGCGGGATGATGAATGATGCGATGGTCGCGAGTGGTAACGGTGCTGACTGAGGTGCTACAGTGATGTACGCGTTGAGCAGGGACGCGAAGTAAGGAAAAGGGAATTTCCTTACAATAAGCTATAATCGCGTTGGATATTTACTCCGCTTCGTGCATTGCATCTCGTTTACGTGCCGATTAGGTACAGAGAATCTGGTCACTGATTCAACAAGTAATTGCTCTTGAGGTGGGTGTCACACGTGAGGCTCCCCACCGTTCATGCGCTACGCCTTGACATGGACGAACCCTTGACTCGGGAATGGGGGATCCCTTGCGGGGCTGGAAAGGGAGGCTACGCGCGATTTGCTAGAATTCAACGAATCGAGCCGCATGCATGCGGTTCGCGGAATCGGAGGGAATTCCGCCGCGCGCGAACCACCGAAACGGGGATAGCCACCTTGTGTACAATCCAAATTCCGCCACGAACCACCCGCCTCGTCCCTTCTCAACAGGCCTCAGGCGACCATACGTCTGCCATCCCACTTTACCTGCCCTTCCCTTCACCTCCCTCCTCTTCCCTTCACTGCGCGCTGTTCCTCAACCTCCTTACCGCGCATCCCCTCAACCCCCTACCAAGACACCCAACCAACCGTCTATTTTTTTTCCCCCCAACCCCCCTTCCATTCTCGCCCTGCCCGCGGCTGCTCTGGCAATCCGCAACAACCACCATCAGCCAGGGTTATCGCGCCCATTGGGATCTCCTTCAATTCTGATCTGGTCTGGAGCCCATTATCATTCTTCGCTCCAGTCTCTCGAACTGAACATCCAAGCTTGTAGTGTCCCTGTTCAATGTTTCAGAAACAATCTAGGGATAAGTTCAGACCAGGCCAGACCCAGTCAACGCGTGGCTATTGGCGATTACCTCTCCGTCCAAGCTATGGCTGCCTAATAACCAGACCTCAAAATACCTGTACTGTACAATACTGAACACACTTCGACAGTCTCGCTTGACTGCTAACGCGTGCCAGGCTTACAGGTAACCGGTTGGTGCCACGTACGTACGTACGTTCTTGGTGCTAGTTAACCTGAATCGAGCCCGTGAGAACCAAAGTCCGTCCAGCTACCCTCCAAGCCGTCCCCCGGTCGTGTGTGTCCAGAATCAGTGTATTGGTTCAAACGGATCACTCTGCTCCTCTCATCCGAACACTCACTCCCTCAGTGCAATGAACTTGACCCACACAACGGGGAATGGTTCGTTGTCAGACCAGCGAAAAGAGAGCAAGCGCAAGGGATTGCATTGACTCCACCACCCCAGCCATCCGCTGCTGCTAGCCCTCAATCTGATATGAGCCGATATATAAGTCTTTAGAAGACCTAGATCTAATCATCATTCAGGCACTGGTCTTTCAGAGTCCACAGTAATAGCCAGATTACCACACCTTTGGGACGGTGAAACCGAGAGTTCTCGCCGCTAAAGCCACCGCACGTTGCGGCAAACCTTTCTGAAAGAGCATTTTGGAGGACCCTTGTATCGTCACGCAGAGTCATAGTAGCTATATAGACGCTCCGCCTTCTCCAAAGCTTCTAAATACGTTCCTGAAAGTGCAGCATCGCGCTTCACCAGTAGTACTATCACCACTACACGCAAAAGCTTCTTTCCCTCACCAAGCACTCATGGCGCCATCAAGCCTTACGCTGCAGCCCGTGCGTTCGTCCACGGCGCGCAACCCCCTCCGCGCAGCAGCCGCGGCCGCAGCAGCAACGTCTGCATCAGCTGCTTCTTCCGCTGGCGCCGCCGCTCCCCGTCGCACCAGCAGCGCCACCGACCCTCTGCGAGCGTCTGTCGCCGACAGGTTCCTGTCGCACGACCTGCACCTGCGGTCGCACAGCGCGTCGTCCGACACTTCTTCTGCTGTCGCACGGTTCCGCTCCGCCGTTTCCTCCCCCGCGGCTGGCGAGCAACGCGTTGGTGACTTCCCCCGTTATGCGCACCTCCGCTATGATAGCACGGCGCTACCACGAGCCGCTAGCGATCCGTCGATTTCCGCGATCCACGCGCGTGTACCTGCTGCTGCGGGTGCTGTCGCCCTCCCTGCTGACGCGGCCGGAACGAGTTACGGGCTTTCAGAGCCGCACTGGGAGTGGGAGGAAGCGACTTCTTCGAGCGACGCAGGCGACCATGAGGAAGAGTCGCACGGCGACGGCGGCGGCGACGACGACGACCTGCCTGGGGTCTCGGGCCGCGTGTTCTGCGACGTGCTGGCGGGTGGAGGGGCTTCGCCGTCCGGCGAGCGACGCGAGACGGCGGACGACGTGATGGAATGGCAGCAGCTGACCCACGCCGTGATGCTGGTAAGCGCGGGGGACGAGATACGATGCGAGCTCTTTCATGGTTTCCTGCGGAAAACTTTGGGCTCTCACGTCGTCTGTTTTTTTTTTGGTGGATTCACAAACTTGCACTAACGCGTGCGTCTTCTTCTTGTGCCTCCCCCGTTCTCTTTTCGCCAGTGCCTGTCCGGCGCAACAGCAGCGGAGAGCCGGCTCGAGGAGAGCGTGAACGACGTGCTGGGTGCCATCGCACTCGCGCAGACGGGGGGCGACGCAGATGGGCAGTCGCAAGCCGTCGCACAGTCGCAGAGGGGGGAGACAGGAGGGGCATTTGTAGAGGGGGAGCGTGCGAGCAGCAGTGATATGACGGCGTGCCCCGGGTGCGATAAGGCGGCAGAGAGGGTTGCTCTGGCCGCTTTCCTTGCCGCCATGGGCCATGACGTCATCCTGTGCAAATCCATGTGGACGGCCAATCAGGACATGCCACCTGGCCACTACCATTTTCTGGAAGTGTCGCTTGGGAAATCTGATGATGGCACTGGGTCTTCCAGCTCTGTAGCAGACAGCCATTCGCCACCAACATTCCGAAGCAGCAGCCGCAGCAGCAACAGCAGCGGCAGCGGCAGCAGTGATGCTAGCGACGCCAGTAGCGCTGGTAACAGCTTGCCCTCTTTCGCCTCCCCCGGGCCGCTCACGTCCGCGGTGGTCGACGTGTCGTTCCAGCAGCAGTTCCACGTGGCACGGCCGTCGCGGCGCTACCAGCAGCTGCTGGCGCTGCTGCCGCGCGTGTTTGTGGGGTCGTACGCGCGCCTGCGCGCGCTCGTGCGCCTCATGGCGGCAGCGGCGCAGCAGTCGCTGCTCACCGTCGCGCTGCCCATCGCGCCCTGGCGCAAGGCGCGCTACATGGCCAAGCTCTGGTTCCCGCAAGGCGCTGCCGCCTCCACCGCCGCCGCCGCTGCTGCGGCTGCCACTGCTGGGGGCGGCGGAAGTGGGGGTGGCGTTGCTGACAACGCTGGTGGCGGCGGTGGTGGCTTGGAGGGGAGTGTGCGCAATGGTGTGGTGCGGAGGCGGGTGGTGTGGGGGGCTGTGGCGGGTAGCACGGCAGGTGCGTCTGAGGTGGCCGTGGCTAGCCTGCTGCGGCAGCTGCCGCTGTGCTGCAAGCACGTAGAGAGCAGCACAGGCGCCTCACGAGCAGCAGCGGCAGCAGCAGCAGCAGTAGCTTCCCCCTCGCTGCTGGACCCGCGGGTGCAGCTGATCGCAAGCAGGCTGCTGACTCCTGGCGCTACTGCAGTGGGCGGTGCAGCCGTCACCACCGCTCTGCACCGCATTCAACACATGATGGACCAACTGAGCAGCGCAGCTTCTGCTGCTGTTACACCTGCCACAAGCACATCTCGCTCGGTGCACGTCCCATCTGCCGCTGCTGCTTCTATCACGCCAGCCCCCTCGCCCTTCTCCCCATCTGCCTCGTGGTTGTGGAGCCCTCCTGCTGTATCGCCTAAGCAGCGCCCCGCCAACCGAGAGGGGTCACTCACTCGCCTCTTTCGCTCCCAGGAGAAGCAGAGGAGGGAGGAGAAGGAAGCGCCCATGGCATTTCACATGGCCGCTGCCACATGACCGTATACATGGTGCCTGCCGTCTGGCTCCACCACCAACTTCCATTCTTTTGGCGTTTTCTAGAATGTGGATATGTGTATATAGTTGGCACTATACAGATGTCCGTTAGTATGAGCTGTGAGCTCATCTTTTTTTTTTTTTAATAATGCATCATTTTCCTTACAAAGCTAAAAAGCTTGTTCCCGTGACGAGTCTATGCTTTGACCCAACAAAAGTGACTGGTATATAACAAAATCAGTTACCGGTACATACCGTGTATATTCTCTCGACCGTGGTTGTGCGGGAAAATATGCCACAAGTAACAATCATGTGACCCCGTAACGTCAATGGTAAAAAAAAAAAGCGTACGGTAACTGTATCGAGAATCCTCACAGGCTTGGTAAGCAGGGTCACGGAATCAGTCACTAGCAACAGCTGAAGAATCACGCGAATGGTAACACATGAAACCAGGGGTTTTTTTATCAGTGTAATTTACTCTGTTTCTCTGAAAATCAGAGTGGTTTTTAGGGGGGCACTCTGTACCTGCTGGGTATTTTTTTTTAGAGTTACTTGTTCTCTGATCAGCCAGGGTTTTTGTGTAAGTTCACTCTGGAGCGCCAGTGTTCCTTTCTCGAATAGTGAGTTTACTCTGAACGGGGGATACATGTACCCCCCCGACCCCCCTAGGTCCCCCTTATCCCCACGATGCCGGTTTGGACCGGAGCGCAGGGGATATCAGTGTTGTTTCGCCCGTGTGTTGGCACAACCTGAGGTGCCGATTGGCCGGAATGGCATATTTCGTGCCTGCGCACTCAACTGGCCACCCAGTGGATACATCGATGGCTTTGCGTACCCCATCAGCAATGAACAACTTCAACTTTCGGGCATGATACGGCAGCTTCCTGTGGTGCACTGAATTCGTGCGCGGCGCGCACATCCACACCTGTTGCTCGGCAGGCATACGGGGTCACCACCAAACCCCATCCTGTCTGAGCCATTATGTTTCTTCCACCCAGCACTGCTCTTCAACGTTCCAGTCTAGCGAGTGTTCCGAGGGCTTCTCCAGCCACAGACCCGCCTCCCTAACCTTTTTTTTTTGCCGTCAATATCATGGATACTAGCGACGCCGAGGGAGACGCGGCTGATCCCGACGACAGGCCGACATGTATCACACCCCCTACGACAGGGCTTCAGTTTCTCCGCGCTGTGCATGCAGATAACGCTCGCGATGAGGAGGAGCTGGCCGATGGCGGTACCGAATGGATGCGCCGTCCTGGCAAGGAGAGTGGCGGCATGGAAGATGCGTACGACGATTGGTGTCCTTCTCCGCGCCCGATGAATGACGCTGCTGAGTCCGACGGTGTTGAGGAGTGGATCGCCTCGCCGCGAAACGAGGTTGCTGCAGAGCCGGCCGAAACGGTTGCAACGCAGGTCGTCGATGCGGCCACTCCTGAGTCATCCTGTTCAGTCGCTTCGAAGAAGCGACGGTACACACAGCAGGTTTTGCAGTGGGGAACACCGCCTCCGAAGCCCGTCGCTCCACCTCCCCGTGCTGCCCCACCCCCCATTCGTCCCCTTACAGACGAGGAGAAGAAGGAGAAGGCGTACCTGAAGGCGCAGAAGAGCTACAAGTCTGATTGGCTGCCGAAGTTTGACTGGCTGATTCTGGACAAGACGCCAGAGGGTGACCCGTGCCTGCGCTGCAGTGTCTGCATGGAGCACGGGAGGGACAACGCGCGTTACGGTCGCAATGGCGCTGGCGGTCGTGATCTGCAGATCGGGTCGATGCGGTGGCACGAGAACAGCGCGAAGCACGAGGACGCCATGAAAAAGCAGGCAAACCTTCTGCAGAAGATCGTGGACCAGAAGAAGATTGAAGACTTCGCGAATGGAGATCCGGAAGGCTGTCGCGTCGCGGTACTCATGCGCGCCATGCGTTTTGTGTGCCGTACCGACACACCCATCCACATGTACCCACAGGTCGTGCAGCTTCTCGCAGAGGAGGGGGTCGCCAACATTCCGCAACAAAGCTATGGAGTGTACATCACGCAGCGAGTTGATGTTGACTGGTTTGTATTCGAAGCAACCGTCTTTGTTCAACGAGGCTAATGCGTTGTGCTATGTGAATGCGCAGGTACGGTTTCTCCGAGATGGCCAAGGCTCTCACCGCATATCTGACCAGGGAGCAATTGCGCGTCCTCCACGCCTCGCCCTTCATCGGCCTCATGTGCGACGAGAGTATCGATCGCGCCCGTGGCAAACACATGATTGTGTTTGTCACGTTCCTCAAGAACAGCGTGGTTGTAACTGAGCTCCTCGCGTTACTAACCGTGCAGCAATGTGATGCGGCATCGCTCATGGGCGCACTGCTCCAGCATCTCGAGACAGTGGGCGTCGACCTGAAGAAGATTTCCGGAATGTCCACGGACGGCGCGGCAGTGATGATCGGGGGCACGTCCGGCGTTGTCACGCGACTGCGTGTCCACGTCCCCCACCTCGTCGGCTGCCACTGCATTGCGCATCGGTACTTGTGTCGTGGCTGATAATTTTAAATGACCGGTTTTACGTTAGTCGATCTTTAAAGTAATGTAACAATCCTTTTCTGCTCACCCCACTATTGCTTGCAGCGAAGCACTTGCTGTGAAGGAGACGGCCGAAGCGGAGCAGTTCCAAGATCTTCGGATGGTAGACAAGGCCATCCGTGCAGTGGGCAAGATCGTGGGGAGATCCACGCCGTGGTACGAGCGGTTCAAAGAGCTCCAGATCGTGATCCACAGCACCAACCTCGAGCACCAGGGACTGTTCGACGTGCGTTGGCTCTCCCGTGCCGATGCGGTCAACCGGCTTGTCAAGATTTTGGGGTCGGCAATCGTGCTCTTCCTGGAGTACAAGCACAAGATCGCCTCAGTTGTGAAGACCCTGAAATTCCACTTCTGTCTGTATTTCCTGGCAGACATTTTGGGGGAGTTGAACTCCCTGAACCGTTTCTTCCAATGACGCAAGGTAAAACGTGCCCGAAAGGATTGTTGATACACGCGTTTAGCCTTGTTTATTTTTCATTTGCCCACACAGACTAACAAACCTTTTTGCGCACATGTCGGTGCGTCAGGTGGAGGTGACGCAAGTCACAGAGGAGGTCGACCGTGTGGTGTCCCTCATCGAGCACCGCTACATCGTCTACGATGGTGGTTTTGAGGCGGGTCTGAGCCCCATCCTGTCTCCATTCATGGCACGTGTCAAGAAAGGGGACAACATGGTGAAGGTGGACGGCGTGGACGCTAGCGGCATACCCGTCAAGCACACCTTCGAGCTCAGCGAGCTGGCGGACAAGAAGCACAAGTTCGGCGGGACGCTTGCAGATTGCGTGAAGTTGGGCAAGGCCTTCGCCCGTGAGGTCGTGTACAACCTGAAGCACCGCATGCGAGATCTTCGTCGAATGGGCGGCTTGAAGCTTTTCAGGGTGGACAAGTGGCCAGCGAATCCGGACACGCGTATGAGACGTTGTGCCACGTGGCTCCGCGAGAACTCTAAACTCTTCAACCACCAGCTGCCAGGTATGTGTATATCTTTTCGATCGTGTATGTGTGCTTTCCCTGAAATAATGCCTCTCGTCAATGTGTACCTAACATTTCCGTACATAAAAAACGCTGTGCTGCGCTTACTGTTTTGGCAGGATTCGAACTGCGGGCAGCCGAACTTGAGTTGAAAACTTTCTGCCACGTCATGAGGACGCACCACGAGGACGAGGACTTCTACCAGGCGCTGACGAACATGCTGAGGTCACGCGACTGGCGGCGAACTTACCCCAACATCATGACCCTGTGGCAGGCGTTGGCCGTCCTGCCACTCAGCACCGTCGAATGTGAGCGTGGATTTTCACGACAGAACATCATCAAGAGCTGGCAGCGCACGGCTCTCAACGACACGCGGCTCACCGAACTCATGAGCATCCACATGCTCGATTACAACGTGGAGTGGCCAGATGTCGTGGACATCTGGCGCAAGCAGAAGAAGAGGCGGCCTACAAAATCCCTTGCACCCTTCCAACCAGCCAATGACAAGGGCGGGCCAGAGGCCAGTTGGGACGACGAACGGGAGGATGACGTGGCTTACGATGAGTGAGCTTGTGGTAGTAGGTCATTGTGTACAAAGTTTAAAAAATTCAATAATTCGGGCAATGCAACAGCAATAACAAACAATGGGTAACCACCAGGGTTACAGATGAAAGTTACTCTGAAGTAACAGGGTTTCTAAATTGACAGCACGTGTTACACTGACATTAAAGAGCAACGCTCGCCAGCCACTCTGGATTTAAGGGTTAGGCCAAAAACGCCTCTGGAAACAAGAGTGCTCCAAAACCAAAAAAAAGGCCTGCATGAAACCCCCGCCAGAAATTCCTGAAACCAGGCCGATTTCCCGCTCGCGCCAACTCGTGCGGAGAGGTTTGATGCACGCTTGTACCGTCGAGCCTCCAGCCCACCGTAACCACACCACGACCCGACGTGCTGTACACCCCCCTGCCCGCTACGGTTCCAAGCAAGTACAGAACCTTCACCCCAGCGCAGCTCTCCAACTTACTTCCCGCCATCAGCTATTCCTCACGCTATTACTAGTAGCTATAGCTTTCGCCAGCTGGCTTCCCGTTCACGCATCCAAGGCGTTCGTTAGCGGCATCTGACGTCTATCAACGGTGCGTGCCTTAGCCCTAAAGCCTTTCCCCATCCATTCACGTTGAGTCCCTTGTTACTCGAAAATTACTACTAATATGAATGAATAAAGTCGATCAGACCGCTGTCGCGATGCGCCCACAAACCGGCGCGCCGAACAGCGCATTGCCCGATGCATCGGGCCCGATCGTCGCGAGATGCATCGCGACGATCAGGAGCAGCCGCCGCCGCGATGCGCATTGCGGCCAGATTCGGGCCGCAAAGCGCATCGCGCCGACCGGGCCGCCGCCGCCGCGATGCGCATTGCGTCCTGCTTTTGGCCGCTCCCCGCATCGCGCCGACCAGGCCGCCGCCGTCGCAATGCGCAATGCGGCCACCCTGCCGGGCGCATTGCGACGATCCACCACCGTGATGCGCTAACCCGCCGCTCTCATACGCTCTCATTCCCTCTCACCCACTCTCTTACGCTCTCATTCCCTCTCACCCACTCTCTTACACTCTCATTCCCTCTCACCCACTCTCATACCCTCTCATTCCCTCTCACCCACTCTCATACGCTCTCATTCCCTCTCACCCACTCTCATACGCTCTCATTCCCTCTCACCCACTCTCATACGCTCTCATTCCCTCTCACCCACTCTCATACACTCTCATTCCCTCTCACCCACTCTCATACGCTCTCATTCCCTCTAACCCACTCTCTTACGCTCTCATTCCATCTCACCCACTCTCTCACGCTCTCATTCCCTCTCACCCACTCTCATACGCTCTCATTCCCTCTCACCCACTCTCATACCCTCTCATTCCCTCTCACCCACACACATACGCTCTCATTCCCTCTCACCCACACTCATACGCTCTCATTCCCTCTCACCCACTCTCACACGCTCTCATTCCCTCTAACCCACTCTCATACGCTCTCATTCCCTCTCACCCACTCTCATACGCTCTCATTCCCTCTCACCCACTCTCATACTCTCTCATACGCTCTCATCCACACTCATACGCTCTCATTCCCTCTCACCCACTCTCATACTCTCTCATTCCCTCTCACCCACTCTCATACTCTCTCATACGCTCTCATCCACTCTCATCCACTCTCATACACTCTCAACCCCTCCCATCCCCTGTGAGAGTACGACGGCTTATGCCAGCTATGCTTGCTTGCCTCTACTTTATCATGCTATTTCTAGCATAGGATAATCATATGCATGCATGAATTGCTTGATTTCCTAGGCTAGGTGCTTTCCTATATTTTATTATGGTTATAGCACCGAGCTAGGTTGCGTGCACCGAATTCTGGCTTTTCGGTTGCCACCGAATTGCCTTCTACCGAATTCGGTAAGGATCTGTTCGGGACGCTTCGCGACCCGCGGAACCTTCGCGTAACACCTGGTTACGGGGCCTTGTGTCGAGCCTATATATAGCCTCGTGTTGTACCCAGGTGGACATTCAATTCAATTCAATTTGAATCATCTTTTCTGAGCTCGATCCCAGATCCTCACACTTGGTAATCAGAGCGGGTTTACACGCGAGGTCTTCAACCGCTTAGTTCCGGCCTTTAAAAACCGCGGGGGCGACGACGAAAGCGCCGATACGGGTATGTAAAACCAGTTCCGCGCAATTTTTCGAAGTCCCCCTCGATTCGGTTTTCGAACACCCCTCAGATTTACTGGTGGAAAGGTTGGAGTTTCGACCGTTCGATCGAGTTTCATCTCAACGGCCTAGAGAATTTTGCCCAAAAAAGTTGGAATTTGGAGCGTCGGATCGATTTTCTCCTCAACGGCCAAGATCGGACGCGAATTTTGCATAAGGGAGATTTACGCAACCTACAGAATTCGCGCTCGTCGATTCTACAGTCAATTTGACTCGCAGTAAGTCGACCAGCACCTAGAACTCGATTATTTTCGTCGCGCATCTTCCTGTAAATCACCAAATGGAGGGCCAAGGCGACAACTACGCGACTACGAGCGACATCGCGAGCCTCCGCACCGACATGGAGCAGACGCAGGCGACGCTTGGTCGACTCGAGGCTTTTCTGACAAGCCAACCAGGGTTCGCCACCGCAGCAGCACCGACAACTCCAGTAGCAGTGGCGACACCGACATTTCACGGACCAATGGCACCACTGTCGCCGAACCTTGAAGCAGCACGACCGAGGCTCCCGGAGGCGTTCGATCCAAGCGCGAAGGGATCCGACGTCCGGCGATTCGTGACCACCCTCGAAATTTACTTCGAGGCCATTGGCTGTTCGACCCCGCAACATGACGCAGCAAGGATTCGGCTCGCAGCGACACTTTTACGTGGACCGGCTCTCGAATGGATTTACTATACCGACGTAGCCCGCGGGGAGAAAACGTGGCAGCAGTTTCGGGCAGATTTAATCGAGCGTTTCGAACCAATTAATACAACCTACATGGCGCGGCAGCAGATACACCGACACAAGCAATACAGTAGTGTAACACAGTAGACGCAGCAGATGGAGTTACTGTTCAACCGCATCACCGACCTGACCGAAGGCGAAAAAATCCAGGCGTACACCGAAGGATTAAAAATGGAGATTCGGCGGCAGGTGATTGCGGCGAATTACAACAGCTACAGAGACATCGTGCGTGCTGCCGAGCGATACGACGCGCTGACTCGAAGTCAACCCGAAACACGGCGCTTCACGCCGAACCGTACATTCGGCACGGAGCGATCGGCACCCCCCACGTTCATCGAACCGATGGGATCGACAAATACGACGCGAAGCAGTAGCCGACAAAATGCGAATTTTGCGGCGCAGCGGGACATCAGTTTTTGTCGTGCTACAAAATGAAGAAAGCACGTGCGGCACTCCGGGACGGAAACAGTGGAGCACCTCCGAAGTAAAAAAACGGGAATCGCCAGTAGCCGCGGATCGACCTGGCGATCGCGTAAAGATCCGAAAAGCAGGAAAAGGCGACGACGTGGCGACTTCGGAGCGGGTGAAAAAAGGAGAAAATGATGGCGCGAATTTAAAACGTCACGACCGGCCGGCATCAGGGGAAATCGCCGAGGCGAATGGAGGCTCCGCGAAAAAAGACTCTGCACCGACCGGGAAACTCCAGCCGAACACCCACGAAAGTAAGAATTCGTTAAAAGTATCCTATAAAGATGCTCTAACGAAGAATATTGCTTCTCGTGGTTTACAAGCCTTCAAAAAATTCAGGGGAGGTCTAGAGGCCAAGAAAAAGCCTTTAGAAATTATTCAGGTACCAGAGAAGTGTCGAAATATTTTGTCATGTTTTATAACTGCTTGTAGTTGTAGTTAGTATAGTTATGTAAACTGTTGGTGGTGGTGCACCTTATTTGGTTTCTATGCTATATGTACCCTTGAACCTATAGTGAAACCATCTTCATTCTCCAATTTCCCTTCTCAACTCACTCGACACCTTGCCTAGGTGGAAACCCGCTCTGATAACATGTCAAGAGAATAAGTGAGTTACTTATTCTCTCGACAAGAAGTTGGGCAAAATACTACGGAGCGTAGAGAAGGGTCGTGCGTTCCGTGGAATTGATATTATCTCCCCGCAGCACAGTGTTAAGGCTCCCCGTCGCCCACAGGTGAAGCCTACACAGCTGCCAAGGCTTAGAGGAGACATCCAGGCTCAGGAAAAATTATACAAGCCTCGGAAAAATCCTCCTACCCCCCAGGTGAAGTTGGAAAGCGCTGAGTCAGGTATAGGAAAAAAGGAAGGTATTAAGTTTGATGTACCCTATGATCCTATTAACGAGACCTTCTTTGGCTACTCAGCACAGCAGAAACCACTACTCCTCGAGGTGTTATGCAATGGGCGACGCCTCCAGGCACTGGTGGACAGCGGTGCATCTCACTCGGTGTGTGACCGCGGAGCATTGGAGAAAATTGGAGAGAAGGCGGAAGAGACCCAGTTTTCAGCAACCATGGTGGACGGTACGAAGCTTCCTATCCACGGCGAAGCATCACTGCAACTGCATATAGGTGCGTTGAGGTGGAAGCCGAAGCTACCAGTCACCAACATCAAAGGATTAGATTTTATCTTGGGGCGAGATTTCCTGAAGCAGTTCAACCCCGAGATCGATTGGGTCAATAGCAAGGTGTGCATCTACAACAACGGGAAACTAGTGGAGCTGCGAAGCTGGACGGATACAGGGGACGTACCTGAAACGACAATGGCACGGTTCGAACAGACAGTGAACAAGAGTAACACGGGTTACCTAGCACTGGTTATGGCAGCAGCAGAGGAGGAGAAGCCGAGTTCCGAGCTACCTGCAGCAGTGAAAGAGGTCTTGGAGCAGTACAAGGATATAATGCCTGACGACCTACCTGCAGGCGTACCTCCAGCACGCACCCACGAGCACGAGAGCGTGGAGGAACCAGGTGCGAAACCCGTCTCACGTGCACCATACCGACTGAGTCCGACTGAACTGACAGACATGAAAAAACAGATAGAGTATCTACTGGACAGACAACTGATCCGCCCATCCACCTCTCCCTACGGCGCACCAGTTCTCTTCACTCCAAAACCAGACGGCAGTCTACGGATGTGCATCGACTACCGCGCACTGAACAAACAGACAGTAAAAAACAAATATCCCATACCGCGCATAGACGACCTACTCGATCAACTGCGTGGAGCAACAGTATTTTCGAAACTGGACCTACGATCGAGCTACTGGCACATCAAGATGGCAGACAACTCCGTCCACAAGACAGCGTTCCGTACCAGATACGGCTCCTACGAATACTTGGTGATGCCGTTCGGACTCTGCAACGCACCAGCAACGTTTCAGGCGGAGATGAATCACATCTTACGACCCCTGCTGGACGAATGCGTGGTGGTGTACTTGGACGACATTCTCATCTACTCCAAGAACATGAAGGAGCACGTGGAGCATCTGCGGAAGGTGTTCGAGATCCTGCGGAAAAACAAGTTCTACGTGAAGCTGTCAAAGAGCGACTTCGCCCTGAAGAAGGTGGAGTTTCTCGGGCACATGGTGAGTGCTGACGGCGTACACGTGGACCCACGGAAGATCGAAGCCGTCAAGAAGTGGAAAGTACTAGAAAACGTGAAGGAGTTACAGCAGTTCCTAGGCTTCGCCAACTACTACAACAGGTTCGTGCCACTGTACGCTAAGATAGCAGCGCCACTGACCGACCTACTGAAAAAGGATACGCCCTACAAATGGGATACCCTTCATCAGCAAGCCATGGAGCAGCTACAGACAGCACTGACTACAGCGCCAGTACTCATCTTGCCGGATCCAAACAAAGACTACGTGATGGAAGCAGACGCTAGTGACCAAGCAGTCGGAGCAGTACTGATGCAGGATCACGGACGCGGTTTGCAGCCCATCGCCTACCTCAGTAAGAAGCTACACGGAGCAGAACTAAAATACCCCATTCACGACAAGGAAGCCTTAGCGATAGTCATAGCCTTCAAGGCGTGGAGGTGTTACCGAGAGGGAGCCAAGACTACAGTCTATACTGACCACTGCAGTCTCAAATACCTGAAGTCACAGCCAACACTCTCACGACGACAGGTGCGGTGGGTGGACTTCCTGGAAACTCACTTCCACTACGACATCGTCTACAAGCCCGGGCTACACAACAAGGCAGACGCGTTGAGCCGCCCCGGACATGTAGCAGGCATCCAGCTCGACGGGATGAACCCTTTGCTCAAGGGTCTATTCCAACATGGGTACTCCGTGGACGCAGAGATTGCTACAGCACAGTGTCAAACATTTATATGTTTGTGTGGTTCTAGGCTGTAGTGGGTTACACCATAAGGGGTACACCAGATTAGGGTTTGACATATTTGTACTGTTGTTCCTGCTAGTCACTCCTCATTCTCGTTTCTCATTCTGACATGGTATTACGAGCCTAGGTTCCACCTAGGACCGAAACGATAGGGCCCACCGTTTCCGCTAGCCGCGCCCTCGTGCGCCGCCGTTCTTTTCCTGCGCCTCGAGCGCCTCCTTCTCAAGGCCCCGTATGGCCCCGCGCTAGCCTCTCACGGCCCCCGATCGGCCCCGCGCTAACCTCCTAAGGCCCCCGTCGGCCCCACGCTAGCCCCGCGCTAGCCTCCTAAGGCCCCCGATCGGCCCCGCGCTAGCCTCCTAAGCCCCCGTC